TTTTAGAAGAAAATCGCTTCGTATTAATTTTTAATTTTGATTTGATAACGTTGGAAAAGCTTTTCAATATGACGGTCGAATGAAAGGGGAAAAGAGGATATGAAAATTCCTGAATTAATTTGGTATTGGCAATTTAGAGAGTTGCGTGATCTTCGATCTGGAAGTTCATCGATGCCGGTTTTTCTCATTTCGATGGCATTCGATTTATCGCGCCAGAAATTCATACAGGTCTCGATCGAACGAATATCGAGACGAGCAAAAGCGTGTCAATGCCGTTCCACAATGATTATTATCGATCTAAACCACTGCACGGAGAATTTATACGTTACATATTCCGTTTATGATTTTATTTTTTAATAAACTCACCATATTGAAACGGTGTGGAGTTACCTGATACTTATTCTGATAAATGATCTTTTACACTGAAAAAATACGTTGTATATATTTTATTTGAAACGAGACAAATATCTAATCGCGATAATTTGTACATTTCCGAAAACGGAAGTGTAATCTTTCTCAAATCGATATCAAAATTTTAATCGTTGTAAACGATTGAACGATATTAATTTATAAATTATATGATAATACAAACGACTATAAATAATTTTTAAGAGGAATGTGAAGATGAAAATTCGTGTAGAGCGATTCGGAAAGATAAATTCAATGCTTTTGAATTCCTTCCATTATGTATGATATGAACTGAAATGTCTAGGAGGATAATAATTTTCAATATGTAATTCAACAAACTCCAGATAAATATAATTCATATCTCTAAATTTACGAATAAAAAATATTTTAGAAATTAAAGCCTTATTCCTAATTATTATATAGATATATAATTTAATTTTTATTATAAATGGTATATAAAAGTATATAAGATACAAATAAAAGTATATAAGATAGGATGACTCAGAGGGTAAATTTATGCTTTCGAATTTGTTCGAGGGAGAGTTCCTCGTATTATGTGGAAATAGGGGTTCACGAAATGCAGAGGAAATTCACCCCGAGGATAAAGGACAAGGGTGAATCGAAGCCGCCAGTTGCGTTGGGGTGGAATTTCCAGACCCAGCCTTTGGTCAATTTACAAGTTGCGGAAGCGAGTCATGACACGCGAAACTGTTGTTTGTCATGTAACGAAGGGGTTAATTATCGCGCATGAAACGCAGGTGAATCGTTCGAAAATGTGAGGAAAAATATATGATGTACGTTGTGCACGTTTAATTCTTCTTTAATTTATATATGAATTTACAAGATTAAACATATTTTATTATTTTCTGGAATATTTAAGAAAAAACGCGTTGTTTAAATTAAATAATAATTTGTACGGTAAATGAAAAATTTAAACATTTTTAATATTTATCTTTTATATTTATAATTACATATCTTGTTATTTATGAATAGATTTACGAATATTTATGCAAATTAAAAGCACGTCTATAGAATTGGAATTGAAATAAGGGAATCTTCATTCTTCATATATATTTTATTCTGGTTTTATATATTTTTGCATATCTTTTGCATATAAATTCTATAGAATTTTTTACATTTTAAATTCATAAATGCACAAGGATCCGCAATTTATTTACGAATATATTTAATATAATAAATACAAGTGGCAAACGAAAAACTAATCATTCTCTTCTGATCTAAATAAATTCATCGATTAGTCGTGCAAAAATATTTTAATAACTTAATGTAAATATAAATGTTACATATTTCTCAATGCGTGTGTGCGTGTCAATTGACATTCTTTTTGATCACAATCCATTGGAATATCCAAACAAATTAAAAACAAGAAACGCTTTTAAAAAAGAGAACGCGTTCTCGTAAAGTATCGGTGAATTTTAAGAATCGCTTTGTAAAACGAAGTCATAAATAAAACGGAAAGCCATTCACCTCGACATTAATTTTCCCTAGGGAATAATAAAAGTCTGTAAGAGGCAACAAAGAACGACATTTTAAATAGTCGACGTTGGCCGAGTAATTTCGCCGACTAGGGAGATGCCAACCCTTATTTCGCTACTGGCAGGAAAATTTTAACGAGATTACCAAACAACCTTCTTTGTTCTTTCGTCACGACAACACATTTTTAATATATGCTCAAAACTTGGACTTTCAAAGGTGAATATTACACGACACGTGTAAGAGCTTTTTTTTTGTGTTTTTGTGCTTCAAATTTTACCGTTATATTTAAATCTAGAATTTTCTTAGGAAATTATGATCCAATGTTATTAAATTTATATATATATAATAATAAATTTTAACAAATTTTCGAATCATTAATATTATTTATATAAAAAATAATAATCTTTTAAAAGATATACGCAAATATGCTGGAATATTAAAGGAATTTAATATTTTGTATAGATAGAAATTCTTCCTTTCGATTAATCGAAATGAATTATCGGTTTAATTCTGAGAGAATGGATTGTATATTCAAAAAAAAAGAAAAAAAATCACGCGTGTTCACCATTCAAAAATAAAATTTTCGAAAACTATCTCTATCAACACAGCTGCCTCTATTACGTAGGAACCGAGTTATTACGTTTTCGTTTCACGAACCACATTCCACCACCTCCATCGTTAAACAAAAATTCAAACATGAACGATTGCACGTGAATCGAGACGATCCTTTTCCCCTTTCACAAGCAAAATCGTCGTGTCACGATGCCCATTAGATAACCACCAATGGAAAATAAAATAAAATTATAAATATGATCGCGTAAAAAAGCGTGTACTACGAGAGCAGTCGTTTATAGAGAGCAGAAAGTTATTTCTAAAGAAAAAACAATAAGCGTAAAACAGAGAGCGTGGGTGAAGATTCAACAGGAGTATCATCAACACGTGTCCGTGTTCCGGACACCTCTCTTCCACGATAATTTACCAGCTAATAATACCGATAAATTGACAAGCAACGAGTTATGAATTTTCACGATTTCACAGTCAAAGAGGAATAATCAAATCACTTCTCAATTTTTTTTTACCTATTTCAAAACTCCACTCGCTTCAAATCTAACATCATTCTACTTATAACAATTTCTTTTAATAATAATATATCACTTCTATAATAATATTTTACAATATCAATATTATCAAAATTTCAATCTTTTCAATATCGAAAGTGCCTCAATCAAAATTAATTCCATCAATTTTACGATAACGTTAACAAAATTACCAAACGTTATTACACTTTCCATCCTCTTAAAACTTGCAAAAAGAAACGATAATTATTTCAAATCGTCCGTCTTTATCCATCTTGGTCATCTATTTACATACACCGTCGAAAGGATATCGCTCACCTCTTTTCTTTTCTTTCTTCCCTCGAGAACGAGCAGAATTCCAACGACCGCGAGGTTTATATCCCGTGTTTCGTCTCCCCGTGTAACTCGGCCGTGTATCGAAATAAACCGTGAGGATAAACGCGAGAGCGTGAACACTACCTACACACGTTGCCGGTCGGCCCGACACTGATCGCACACTCGCTACT